TGAAAGTCAGTGCTCTTTCACACTGGGCCTTTAATTCTGGTCAATTTTGATTGATATTAATTCAAATCCATCACTAAAAGTTTCTCAGGACTAAAAACCAACCAAACATTTGATTTTATTATATCTCTTAAGAATCTGTCTTTCATAGTGCATTCTGTGAAACGTCCCAGCAGAAGCGATCAAAGATTGTAAACCGTAGCGTTGCTGCATGTGGAAGTTGTTGATAACATGCTGACCTGCGAGGAAGACAAACATGATGAGTCTGCCGTGTGTGTTCTTAGCAAGATAGGGACGTGGAGGCCACTCAAATCCAGCTGGGAGGACCAGGGCGTTCTGAGCCGTCTTAGAAGTGAGAGGAAAGCTGTGCTTGTGTTTGAAGTAGAAAGGGTTTCTCTTGTAGATTTAAAAGGTATAACCTCGGGGCAGCAATTATTACCCAAGAATTTCTGCAAAATGGCAAAACTAAAAAAACATCTGTTAGTCAGGCCTTGAAAACATTCTGGGTTCATGTTGCTGGAAACATGCCAGCAGAGGTGTGACAAGACCGAAGGTCCAGCGGTTAAAAGCAGACGCAGACAGGAGACAGAGCACCCCTGTGTGACGGCTTTCTCCCAGATCGGAGTCACAAAATTTCATCTGTAACACTGATATGAATGCAGATCCTCAAGATCGGAGCCGTTGTGTTTGATGACAGAATTTGCTCTTGCGTCATGAGTCATCTGGACTCCTGTGGATCAGGGCCAGAGCCTGGAGCGTCTGCATTCACCGAAGGTCGGAGTTCTGGAGAGCATCGGTAAACTCAGCTCAGACCTGCTCTTACAAACTTGTCACCAGTTGATGAAGCTCAACAATGGTGGTATTTGTTCTGTTATGATGAATGTGTCCCACAAAACATAAAAACCTGCACGACCTCTCAATTTACTGTAATTCAACTGAATTGCCTGAGGTCGTTTGTCCTGTTGAAGTCGACACCGTCAAACTCGTTACACAGCAACAGATGCCTGGGAATGTGTCGGTGTGTTGGTGTTGAGCTTCTGCGGGAGACGAGCTGGTGTCTCCGCTAAAGACGTCTAAACTTATGACCCTTCATGTGAATGCCTCTGTGTTAAATGTTTTACGGCCAATGGTTTTGACCTTTGGTTTAGTTCCCTGGTGATCATTTAGCCCGTCAAACACTCAGATATAAATAAAAAGAGCGTTAACGTCCAAGTTCCTGCTAAACAAGTTCCCACAGAATCTGTTTTGTCTGCTTTACACATTTGTTTCTTTTCCAGGCGAACATGCACTCACTGGCATGAGTAGATTTTGTAACTTATTAATCAGCTGATCGAAGTCTACGTGTAGACTTTGTGAAGATGACTTGATGAAGTTGAAACCGAGCACTGAAAAAGGGAAGAAAGGGGACATTAAACATGTCACGATTGTTGGTACCAGACAGACCGGTCTGAGGATTTCAGGAACTGATTTACTCGCACTTTCTCCCCACAACCTTCACGGGTTTACAGAGAATGGTGCCTTGCTTCCCGACAGGGTCGCGGAAGGCGCTTTATAAAAAAAAGCTTTGACTGATTGATTGATTGATTGATGATTGATTGATTGATTGATTGATTGATTGGTGCAAAAAAGAGAAAATACCCAGTGAGCATGTCTGAAGTATTTTATTCATGTTGAAAGCATAAATAAATTATAAAAGTTTCTGTTACAATTTAGTCACAGAATGTCACAATTTTATTTATTTATTTATTTATTATTTTTTTTAATTCATTCATCATTGAAACTCAGAATATTGTAAACGATGTCTCACTAAAGGCGTCGGGTTCCATTTATTTGTCTTCAACTTCATTGACAGTGGTCTCACGTTGATTGATTTATTAATTTATACGTCTATTACGAGAGGAATAGCGCCATGAGATGCACCGTCTTGTTTGACGGAGGTCAAATGCAGGTGAGCGGCAGTCGGTGGCTGTTAACATAACCCATTAAAGAATATAATATCACACACACACACACACACACACACACACACACCAGCTCACTTAGTTCACCAGGTTTCTCATCAATCCCCAGTACGGGGTTAGCATCTGTCCCTACATCCCACCATGATGTTTCCTAAAGGACAGACTGGATCGACGCCAGGGGAGTGAAGACAGGTCGCAGTAGTGTTTTAATGACAAACATCACCTTAACCCTCTCAGGCTCTAAATAAGTTTTGATAAAAGGACAAACAACCAAGTCCTTCAGGGGTACTTCTGAGTTACAAAAATACTCATAAAACACATATGTGGAGTAACCAGGTAGGTAGGTTTTAACCTGCAACGCCTGCCTCCAGAGGGCTTATACAAAATAGGTAAGAGCAGCTGAGACTTTTCTGTTTCTGATGAAGGAAAGATCAATAACGTACCCAACACCTAAGAATTTAAACGACTCAACTGGTTCAAGCAGAGATGGGTTTAAAATGGGTTTGAGACACGTGTGACAGTTTCTGAAAGTATGGGAGAAAACCTGTTTTGCTCACTTTTCATCAAAATCACAGCAACACGTGACGGAAGATCTGGAACTCTCCCAATAAAACTGCGAAACCTCGCAAACATTTAGAAACGTGGGAGTGCTGTTCATGAGCCAGAGCCCAGTGAGACGTGAGCTGAGTTAACTGCGAGGGGTGGCAGCACCCTCACCGATCAGATAATAGATATTAAATTAGACACGCGACAGTAAAATAAAGAATGGGACATCAATTATGATGTCGTTTTTTTCTTTCAGTTTGATAATGAAAGAGCAGCCGTGTTATCAACTGGACAATTATTTTCTGTGTAATGAAAATGTCCATTAATCATTCCAGTCAGAATAAAAGACTCCAGCCTAATTTATGCGTCTGCTTTAGCTCCTTGAGGGAGAGACGCACACGCGCTGATGAAGACGTTCGGACTGCTTCATCACCTGAGTATTGGGAAGTAATTCCCCGCCTTTTCCAGGGTATCCTGTCATGTCAATTGGTCCACAATAGCATATTTACTATTGTGTATTTCAGAGACTTTTTAGCACGGACAAATTTGTTTCTCATTCTCGACCACCTCTTCACGAGCTCGCCACCTCTAAACCCACGTTTCCCATCATTTCCATCCACAAATAAAATGCTCGCCGTGTAGCTTGATACTCATCCAGTTACGGGTGAAAAAACTCTTCATACTTTAAGAGTTTGCATCCCTTTCAGCTGCTCCATGTCTGCCGCCAGGTATATTTGGCTCACTTGAAACTTTTTTGTGGAAGCAATAGCAGGAAGCAGTGTCCTGACAAGCTTGTGCTCTCCATCTCGTTCGACAGATGTTCTGTCCTCGTGAGCCTGTTGGAGAGCCCTCTCGACGATGGATAATGGTGTTGCATGCCTCCGTACCGACACGGACAGAGAAGCATCATCTAGGCTTCAGTCAAACGTGTTAATCATAATCTACACCACCATGTTTTCTTCGCTTTTTAGATTTACTTTTAACATTTTCTGTTGGTTTTTGTTTCTCGTTCCTGGACACGAAAAGCCAGGGAACGAACCCTCAATCAACACACACACACACACACACACACACACACACACACACACACACACACACACACACACACTGGAGCCCAAGCTGCTGTAATCTTCGGGTTGGGCTTCAGGTGTAAATCATTCATGTGCTTTAGTTTGTCATTGACGGCGTTTAGTGTAGGATGACAGAATCACATTGGGTAAAGAAATCCTACTTGATTTATTTAAAAAACGTTATTGACAAAGCCATTATTTTTCATTCATCGTCTCCATTGCATTAAAGCTTACTTTGTCTTCATGCGTGATGTCTTTGTGGGCTAAATCTGTTTAAAATCCACACGTTCACAAACTCCTGAACTCTTCAGCTTATGGTGGTGGCGGTTATTTAGTGGGAGGACACAGTGCTGACTCCCTGCAGGCAGGGCAGAGACAAAAGTGTCACAAGACAAAAAAAAACTATTTACATCTCACAGAGGCGACGTTCCCGTTCCCGGCTGGTTTCCCCCTGCCACTCACCCAGTGTGTTTTGGGTCAGCTGTTTGTTGTTTAGTCTAACGTTGTACGCTGACATGCAGCTGATGCTGTGTCAGAATTTGAATACATCCGTGTACGTTTTTGCATGGTCCTCGTCATACACCCGTAACCTTACAATGCAAATGTACAGTTGATTCAGACTGGTTCTTTTCTTTGGCTGGGCTGTGTAGCGTGACATTTAGAGATGAGTAAGCGTCACCGGCTATGGGTGTGGGTTCATACCTGAAAAAGGAGGGAGTTTTTATCTCTCTTTAGGTGGCCGTCTCTGCAGCCTCACACACACAAAGATGTTTTAATGTAACGTAGTGGTAGGAATCACATGCTTATTTGTGTTGTGTGCTGTAAGACACGGTTTTGTGTCATCAGAATTAAAAGTGTATAAAATACAGCCATGCACACACACACACACACACACACACACACACACACACACACACACACACACACACACACACACACACACACACACACACACACACACACACACGCACCCCACAACATTCCAAGGTTTTGTCATGACAAGAAGACCGATGCAGCTCCCAACACTCAATAAAACACACACAGATCTGCTGAAGCTGATGTCACCTGCCAGTTAGAAAACTTGTGAATCCTGCTTGTTGCTTAAACTCATGAACAGGTTGACTCACGAACTAACGAGGGCTGTCGCCCCATTTCCAGGTCGTGAACTTCACCACAGGACTTCCTGTTTGGACTCCTCTACAAACACAACAGAGACACGCTGAAGATGCATTAGCAGGAGTTTAAAATATGTAAATAAGAGTCGTAGCCTGTGTCTGCAGCTTCTAGCCTCATACCGCTCTCTGCACAGCAGCAGCTGCAGGGACAGTGTGTTCAAACTCCAGAGAGCTCTCAGCACCCTCCTCAGCTCCGTCCTGATTGGCTGAGAGCTATCCATGATGTCATCACTGCATGTTATAAGGGCTCTGACAAATAGCCTGGGAGACACATTAGAGGAAACACTGCTCCGCTGACAGACTGGGGAGAGAAACACGCTAAGATAAGGAAGAAAGAGAAAAGTGGAAGAGGCATGTGATATTTTCAGTCACAGAGCAGGAGAGAAAGGAATCACAACTACTTGTTGAGGTTTGCAGTTTTTCTTTTTATTTTGTGTTGAAGTTGCAACATGTCTTCAAAGCTTGCAGGAGCTGGTCCAACTTCAGCGTGCTCGTGTGTGTAGGGGCTCGCCGTACTGGCAGCTCTGGCTTTTGGCACACATGTCAAATCTTTTGTGAAATGAGTTTTCTTTCATCAGTTTTTGAAAATAATTTAACATTTAAATGGTGATCCTTGTTTAATTGTGTGTTTGTTGTCTACACACGGTCTCTTTAGATGGAAACTGCTACCACTCCAGTCTTCCTCAATGTGGGCACAAACCAGACCAACTCCTCATCCTCAGCTAAGAATGAGGAAGGCCTCAGCGGAACAGTCATGATCCTAGTGTGCATGTACATGTCCTTCATCTTTGTGTTGACCGTCTTAGGCAACATCCTGGTCATAACAGCGATGGCCCGGTTCCAGCGTCTCCAGAGTGTCACCAACTGCTTCATCACATCTCTGGCCTGCGCGGACCTGGTCATGGGTCTCATCGTGATTCCTTTTGGCGCCTCCAACAACATTTTTGGCACTTGGCACTTTGGTGTTTTCTGGTGTGATTTCTGGACTGCCACGGATGTGCACTGTGTGACCGCCAGCATCGGGACCCTGTGTGTCATTTCCATAGATCGTTATTTGGCCATTACTTCGCCCCTTCGTTACCAGTCAATGTTGACAAAGACCAAAGCTCGGATTGTGGTTCTTCTAGTGTGGGTGATCGCAGCTTTGACGTCTTACCTGCCGATCCACGCAGGGTGGTGGAGATCTAATAGCACAAAAGCCTTGGAATGTCAAAACGACATATCCTGCTGCGAGTTCTATGTCAACGAATATTATGGAGTCATCTCCTCTATCATTTCCTTCTACATCCCTTTGATCGTTATGATTTTTGTCTACGGCCGCGTTTTTTGTGAGGCCAGACGACAGCTGAAAAAGATCAAACAAAGTGTTGGCCGCTTTCAGCAAAGCAACAAAGATGAACTGAAATCTATGGAGGCCAACAATAGCCGTGGACAAAAGAGGGCAAAGTTTTTCCTGCGGGAGCACAAAGCCCTAAAGACGCTGGGCATAATCATGGGAGTGTTCACCCTGTGCTGGCTGCCGTACTTCATCCTCAACGTGGTGGAGTCCCTAAAGCCGATGGACGTCACTATCGCCTTCAAGGTTCTCAACTGGATAGGATACTCGAACTCTGGCTTCAACCCAATCATCTACTGCCGGAGTCCTGATTTCAGATACGCTTACATGGAAATCCTCTGCTTGAACAGGAACCCCCTTAGCAACTCAGGACGTGTGAACGGATACGTCTACAACAGGCACAGCTGGCAGAGCGAGTTTCGGAGGAGTAAGGGCAGCTTGAACGACAGTGACATCAATGAGAGGTGTCTGGTGAGAGGAGCCGAGGACTGTTTCAGTAAGGACAGGGCAGTGGACCCAAATGGAAACAACAAAGAGGTATCGACTCTAACGACCGCCCTGTGAACGTGGAGCTCTGAGACTTCATTAATCAGGGAAATCATCCAGATGTGTTTACACTGCTGTTGAAAACTTTTATTTACCAGACTGACTGACGAAGGTAAGGCCAGTCGAAGTGGTCCGCAGAGTCTTTGGTAACTGCTCAGAAGTAATCAGGATTACTCTGAGCCTAGAAAAGAATTTCAGTGAAATATTACTGTAGATAGCTCTTTGTTTGTTTGTTTGTTGTTTGTTTGTTTGTTTGTTTTACGTGGTTCATAAGGATTCCCCATCTACCTCATCACAGCTTTATTCCTCTTGTCTTAATGGACTGTATTTCACCTCCTTAGTTCAACTAGGGCTGTGCCTCAGCTGTTCATTTATTCTAATAAATGGCCCATCGATGAAGTAATTGCAGATGATCTAGTTTAATTTAAAATTTCTCGGTGTGTGGTTTTTGTTTTCAAAGATGCCACATTTTTTTCTACAAATTGATTTTGGTTTGAATTTGCCTTCACGGCCTTTAAACCAAGACATTGGCTGATAATAACATGGATGGTGTTCTGGATCATAGAACGATACATTCCCACTCTGCACCTCCGACTCTGGTGTGATTGCAGGAGCATTAGAGAGCAGCGATGCACACGGCAGGAAACGGCTGTCTGCTGCTCTGGTGTCTTTCAGCCTGTTGCCTTTCAGTTTCTGTGTTCTGCAGAACATTCCGGAGATGTGAGCAGCTGCAGATCTAGACCTCACTGAGAAATGCCCGTGGGGCGTTTTCTGTTAATGACATGATAAAACTTGAAAGTTTGTGTTTGTTGCATTGTCTAGACAACAACACAAACCCTATAGATATCTGATAGCGTTGTAAATGTATTTATGTATTTATTGTTTAATGGCTTGCAAATGCATTGCCCCAAACTGGCCACATTCTGTTAACAGTGCACGACACTCTCTGGTCCGTTGTGGAGCCGTTCGCGTGTCAGAAAACGATCACTTTTTGTTATTTATGTTCCTTCTATGCAAACGTTGCTGTTGCGCTCCGGGTTGCTCAAGTCTTGTTAGCTTGTAAAACTTCGTGGTTGTTGTGTTTCAGTTTGTGTAACTGCAACTGGACACGCCATTTCCTCAAATCACAAGGGTACAAACAACACATAAATAATAATAATAATAATAATAATAATAATAATAATGGCATCAGTATAGCTTCATAATAAATTCTGGGTCCAAATTTCGGAGGTGACAACAAGCCCATAAACAGAAAGTCCTTCACCGCTCCTACTGAGTGCACCTTTGTCAGCGCCTCCCGATGCTTCCCAGACTCCTCTCTGCATACATGGATGTCTGACATCAGCGTAACATCTGGATACAACCTTCAGGAGTCCGCGGAGCCTCAGCTGTTCCAGTTGCTTCACTTTGTTTCAGTCAGGCTCCTTTAAACGCTTCTGGGTGTGCAGTTTCCAGGAAACGCCTCCATCCAGCTGAGACCAGCCTCATTAAACATAAATAAACACATTATTCCTGAAGTTTGAAAGGAGATAAGTCCTTAAAAGAACGTCGAAGCAGACGAGCAGATCAAAAAGTCGAGGGTTTTGCAGTTTGCTTGTTGTGATGTGATCCGACCTGAAAGTAGACTATCACCTATCACCACGTCTCGTAGGAACGTTTATTTTCTACTGAGGTTGTGATGGACATCGAGCACTTAGCATGTCAGACTTTGGAGAGTTAACTCTTTTTTCTTCACAGTAAGTTGCTTGTGAGGTCATTATGTTAAACAGAGGTACTGAAGGTGTGAGCCGCCTTTTCCTCTGGCAGTTGGGCTGTCTCTGCACGACCAGATCAAAGTGACAGCACACTGAAGTTAGATTTAAAGTCAGGGGTGAGTGTGTGAAGGGGAGGACCAGGGACTCTCTGCCAGTCTTAAAGGGTGTTAGCGACCTGTGTTTTAGTGCACGTAGCGCTGGAGCCAGATCAGCTGACACTGACAAAGCTGTGAACTTTGTTCTTTTTGAGGAAATCTCAGTTTACTGTGACTCAGAGCTTCGGTCAGCGTTCTCATCACAGAGCCCAGGAATAGACGCAAATACGGTGTCCCTGCATGTCAATGTTCGCCATGTGGAAAACAAGCATGCTGGTCTTTTTCTGTTTTCTATGTCTGCCCATTTACAGCAAAGTAAACTGAACGTCATCATAAACGATCTGCTTTATTTTTGTGCACAAATCTGGAAAAGATGTGAGACCAAGTTTTTGATAAATGAGTTCATGAATCGGAGAGGTTGGCACTATAAAAACAAAGTGTGCTGCTTTCTTTGAAAGTCTTTAACGTGTGATTCTAGAAGCACTGTGCAAGAGAACATTTGCATGTCTGTTTTGTGTTTGTAGTGTATTTGTGGACCTCTGTGCATGTTTTCTTTTGAAAGCGACCCTTTTGATGCAAAGCTTTTTGAGCTACACTTCCACACTGCTCCCTCCTGGCGGCGGCCTGTCTGTGCACCTCAGCAGTGCAGTTATTAATGGTTACTGTTGGTCAAGAGGGTAGTAAGGAGCGCGCTGCATGCCCTGAGGACACAACACAGTTATGTGCAATGAGTCTTGAATGATGAGCCGTTACAACGACATTCCAGGCACAGCTAGTGTTTAATACGGCGATGCACATTCAGGTCTCCCACCATCTTGTCTCAGACTACCCACTTTTTATAAAGTCCACCAAAACAAAAGTGTCTTTTGAAAGAGCATCGTGGGTTAGCATGGGCAAGCAAAGGTTGTATTAATATTTGGAGTACACAGATCCCAGATATTTCAGGGTAACTGAATGCAGTACATCAGGCTCTGACATGTGTTAATGTGATTCTACATTAGAGGGAATGTCAGGGATTCACTTTTGTTTTTACATGATAAACAACTCCCTTGTGATTTATATGAAGTCATCCATCTACCTAAAGCAGCACTTTGATGACGCATTCAGGAGAGACGTTCAGAATCCGAACACAAACTTGAGGTGAACTAAATAAAAAATGTCCTTTCACTTGTATCATAACATTTTCCTGGAAGCTCCCTCTGCGGTCTGCGACTCGGAATCAAAAGTCATGAGAAACGAGTCGCTGCAGCATCTCAGCGCTGATGGATTTCATTTTAAAGTCAGTCAGTTCACAGGAGTCCACGTCTGGAAATGTGAATGATCTGCGTAGCTGTGGCAGTCACATCGAGAGCAGACCTGTTATATGTGAACCTTTCTTTAATACTGGAGTGAAAACGTCCTCACTCAGCTGAATGTTTACTAAATGTTTGCTAGCTATTTTTCGCACAAATTGTTGTTGTTTGCCGATGCCTGTTATGAGATATGGTGCCCAGTGGTATTTATTTATAAAACATTTGTGATGTAACACTTCTATTGAAATAAATTATCTCCATGTTGCATGTGATGTCCTTGTCTTTTCAGTGGATTTGAAATCTCTTCTTCAGTTCTGACTCTAAGCGGTTACATCTGTTGGGGTGAAGTCCTCAGCGTGTGATCTAGATGAAGAAGGAGATGTGGATCTTATGAAAACATTTCCACAGCTCTTTTAAAAACCTGCCCTTTGGCTCCGAGCGATCAGGATTCAGAGCAGAACAGCTAAATCTAATCAACGGGAGGAGCTCCATGAAGCTAAGGTGGAGATAGCAACATTGAATCTAATATTTCAACACATTCTTGGATCTAATACAAAGCATATTTCATTAATAATATAGCATGATGGATTTACAGCATGAGTTACAATTGGACTGAAGGTTTGATGTAAATCTTTGAACCAAACAGGAAAGCTCTGGACATGTTTGGTTTTGTAGATGCGAGCTTTTATTGTCTTAAGACAAAGTTACATCATGCACAGATTACACTGCCTCGCCTTTAGTAGTAAAATGAAGCAATTCAAGTAGATAAGAACAGGTTTTATCTCTTCACTACAGTAGAGCCTGTTACTCCCCAACAGATCTGTATCGTTCACACCTTTCATTGCTTTATAAAGTACGGACCTGTACGCAAGATTATTGGGATGTTTGTGCGCCAACATGTCTGAATGTTCTACTAATGCTAAGCTTTTCATAATGAATGCAACTGCAAAGCTGTTCTCCTCTCAATCTTTGTTTTTATTAACACAACCAAACGTGCAACATGAATGTATAATTCTAGACTTTTGGTGAGGAGATGGAACTCGCTCAAAAACACACCGACACTTAAAGTTAATATGTTTATTTTGATTTTGTTATTACTATTATTATTATTAATATTATTATTGTTATTATTATTATTGGCATTATTATTATTATTGATATTATTATTATTGCTGATATTATTGGTGTTATTATGATGATGATGATGATTATTATTAATATTAGTAATATTTGGTATTATTATCTGCGATGGACTGGCAATCTGTCCAGGGTGTACCCTGCCTGTTTGCCCGTTGACCGCTGGAGATAGGCACCATCGATGACATCACACTAGAGGATTGGCTGGATGTACGACCTATGGAAATTACGATACCTCTTTCAACATCATTTAAGCAGTAAGAAACACAAATTTAATAGCAAAACCGCTAAACTCTTTCCAAAACTGATGTGAAAGAACAGAATCTTTATTTTGGGCTGAGTGGTATTGCATTAGCCCTCCCACTGTCCTATTGGGCAGTAGGACAGTGGGATGGTTAGTATGATAGCTTCATTGGCAGGCGCAGGACCCCGTGCAGATCCAGAAAGTTCAGCACCAGAAAACTACTATCAGCATGACATTCTCTTGATGGAGTTAACTGAAGGACCGTCAGAGTCTGAGGAGTCACACTGCTGTCTGCTCCACAGGTAACAACATTTACAGCACTGTTTTTGTAAACTAGCGTCATGGTGTAAAACTACCCTGAAATGTATGTATGTACTGCCCCCTAGTGCCAGGAAACTACACACTGCACTTTAAATACCAACAAGCAGTAAGTAGGTACAACTTTAAATGAGACCTAGAAGGAAATTGGTCACAAAGTGGTAAATGATAAGCGTCCTGTATTTGTATAGCTCCTTCTAGGGTTCAACAGCCCCCCAAGGTGCTTCACAACACAATCAGTCATTCACACGCAGGTGATGATGAGCCACAATGTAGCCACAGCTGCCCTGGGGCACACACAGGCGAGACTGTTGAGGCAAGTTTGTGTAAGTGTCTTGCCCAAAGGCACTACAACTGTATTTTCTGTCGGGAACCGGGATTGATCCTGCAACCCTCCAAATCCTGGAGCTAAGGCTGCCCCAGGGCTAAACAGAGAAGCAGCACAATGAAAAGCAAATCATCCAATATTTGATTCAACGGTTTTCATCGCAATGATTTTTTTGGTTCAAAGCCTAATTTATACTTCTCCATCTGCGTCGATATGGAAACACGCAGCACCATTGTTTGTCGGCGTGAGAGCCCTTCGACTGCCTCGCAGAGGGTGACGCAAACAGGCCCCAATTTTTGACGATCCGTCAAAAGTGACAGACACTGCAAGCTTATGACTGGTCAGGACGCCGCTTGCTGTAAATTAGCCAACAATGCCGTTTTGCCCCCTCAAAGAGTGAAAAGATGTTTAGCAGCAGACACGAAACAGATTTCATGCAGGAAAAAGTCATTAAGTATGAAAGTTTATCCACAGTGACTGAAGGTGTAAAAAGATACGCAGCAAGCATTTTATTCAGGGATGGAAAAGACGAGAAATGTGAGTTTAGAGGTGCTGGTCACATGAAGAGGTAGATGGGGGCAGCAGTAGCTCAACAGGCTGAGCGGGTTGTCCAGTAATCGGAAGGTTGCAGGTTCAATCCCGGCTCCGGACAGAGAATTCTGCTGTTGTGTCCTTGGGCAAGACACTCAACCCACCTGTGGTGGTCAGAGGGACCGGTGGCGCCTGTGCTCGGCAGCCTCGCCTCGCCTCTGTCAGTGCGCCCCAGGGCAGCTGTGGCTACATCGTAGCTCATCCCCACCCATGTGTGAATGTGTGTGTGTGGGTGAATGATACACTGTAGTGTAAAGCACTTTGAAGTCCTTTCTCTGAGAGGTGCTATACAAGTGCGGGTCATTTATCATGGGGGACAAGTCAAGTCAAAAGTCTCTGAAATACATTAAAACAATGTAAAAACAATGGTACATACACTATTATGGACCGGATATGTGACTGTAAAGGTGGCGGGATACCTCAGAATTGCGCTACGCCCTCTGTTGTCCTGGTGGGGAATAGTTTAGCAGCAATCCCCAGCTGACGGAGAAGTCCGAGACCAAAACGTCTCTGTCAAAGTGTGTGCGACTCTCCCTCACAGAGCTGATGGAGAGGAGTACATTAGGCTCTAAATGAGTGTCCTGGAAGGTTCTTTGATCTTGAGCTTTCAGGTGTGTGTGGCACAAGCAGCAGGCCTTGGTCACATGACCTCAGAGATCTGCTAGGGTAGGACATGCATGTTGTTTACCCACATGTGGATGGGGAGGTAGTGTGGAAAGAGAAGAGTTATGACATGAGCTTTTGTCAGAACTCAGGCAGCAGCCACCTGCAGATGGTCCAGTGTTGTACAGACAGGTAAATAATGACTTACAGTAATCCAGTCTTGAAGAGAAAAAAGCGTAAAAACAACAATTTCCTGTTTGGATCATGAGATGATGCTACTTTACTCTGCTATGTTTCTTGAGCCCAGTTCACAGGCTCAATGGCTCGGCATTAGCCAAAAGAGTTAGACATTCGCTTACATACGAATGTCAATCACAGAGTGTGTGTGTGAGCCTTTGAGGACACACAACTTCAAACTCTCTTCAGGGTAAGAAGAGAGGCAGAAGAAGTGATGCACCCATCATGCCTAGTGCCTACTGTACAAACCTGTGGGGGCAGTGCTATGACCTGGGCTTGCTGTTGTTGATCAGGTCTAGGTTCACCAACAGGATGTGCTCCAAGAATCAGGTCTGCTGAGGACCTGAATACACTGAATGAACTGGGTCCTCATTTATCAAGCTTGCTTACGCACAAAACGGGTCGGAAAGCTGCGTAAGCAACTTTCCACGCAAACTTTGGGATTTACGAAAGAAAACTTAGCGGAAAAATGTGCACAACTTTAAGTTGACTAAGGACCTGGCTTACGCACTTGTTGGAAATGGAGAGCACCTGCAGTGCTGCTGCTGAGAAGATACAATTATGAAATCCTGCAGCATTATCACTTGTACTGCTGTGTTTTCACACAGAGCAAGACCCACCCACACACACTCTCTCACACACACACACACACACACACACACACACACACACACACACACACACACGCACACACACACACACACACGCACACACACGCACACACACGCACACACACGCACACACACACACACACACACACACACACACACACACACACACACACACACACGCACACACACGCACACACACGCACACACACACACACACACACACACGTACACACACACACACACACACACGCACGTACACACACACACACACACACACACACACACACACACACACACACACACACACACACACACACACACACACACACATGCACACACACACACAGCCTGAAGCGCAGAATACAGAATGCAGAATATCAGCAGGGGGACAGACTGAGACAGAACATCATGCGTCTGTGACAGTGTGTGTCCTGTCACTGTTACCCGGTTGATCATGCGCCCTGGCTACTTGGACAAGGGAGATCTCTGGTTGGGTGACTGGTTAGAGCACGTGACTTTCACCTGGGACTCTGGGGATTGAATCCTGATTGGACAAATTTTTTTATATCCACCACAGATCTCTCTGAGGAACTCAGCATTGACGGCTTCAGCAACGCTGTGCCACTCCATGGATTTTCTCTTATTTGTTTTGCAAAAGCACTTCCTTTCATTTCTCCACCTCACCCACAGGTACCTCAACTTCTGCTTGTGAAATAGCGCTTCCTTGATTTGCCTTGATCTGCGGTCGTGATCGAAACGCTGCAACAGCCGGCTTATGTATATGCATGAGATCCACAAGGCGCTTTGCATTGACCATTTATGGCAGTAAGTGGGCGTGGTGAGGGCGGGATGTGACTAAAATGCTGCTGAGAAACATTCTCGTTAGTCTCTGATTTATGAAGCGGAGATTGCGTGCAGCTGTGCGTACTCCATGTTTTATAGTCACAAACCTACTTGGCGTAAGTACATTTTTTTTGCTGAGCTTAAGTACGGTTTTAGTAAGGATTCTACGCGATGTTTGATAAATGAGACCCCTGGTTATTCTATCTTCCTTGATGGCACAGACGTATTCCAAGATGACAATGCCAGGATTCATCAGGCTCAAACAGTGAAAGAGTGGTTCAGGGAGCACTAGACATCATTTTCACACATGGATTGGTCCCCAGAGTCCAGACCTTAACCCCAGTGAGGATCTG